GATAAGGAACAAGGTTGTTAAAGTCAAAGGTCATGGGTTTGAAACTCAATCTTTACATTTTTGAAAAAGAGATAAAGAAGGGGACGATGAAGGGGTTGACAGGGGACGACCAAGAAGCAGACTCGGATTAATTTATGAATTAATCTAAAAATCTACTAAAGCCATACTCGGATTAATTTATGAATTAATCTAAAAATCTACTAATGACATTCTGGGAATAAAGATTATATCCAGAGATATTAACTAATGAGTTAATATGGTGCAATGCTAAAAGCTTAGGAGATATATTTTGTTGGCTCATGTTTAAATCTCACTAGAAACATATTTTCGAAAAGATGACACTTGTTAAAGTGCATGCTGTAATTTGGACACATGTAATGCTAAGTTGACTACAAGCTTGGAAGCTTGTCGACATGATAAGGAAGATGCACGTGAATTCTTCTACACATCTTCTTTCTCATTTAAATCTCTTGCTATGCATCTCAAATCAAGAAGAAGAAGAAGAAATGGTCGAAGATTTTTTACTCAAGCAAGAATCAGCAGCAAATCTTTTGGAAGATTTCATCAATTTCATCATTTTGAATCCGTCAAGATAAGGAAATTATTTTTCGAAGAAGTTTCAGCTGATGAGCCGACATATACGACTTTGAAAGATTTGTCAGGTGAGGATTTTCAAACTCACTGTAAGAAGCCCATCTCTTGCATTAAATCACCGTAGTGCAAGTTGGCAATAATGTGTAGCTGAACAAGATGAACGATCAAGATCAACTGTTGCTACAACGGTAATATAGCTTCTTCAGCTATATATACCCGAAGACTTGAAGACATGAAGCAGATAAGAGAGAGCAATACACGAAAAAACAGAGAAGGCAAGGCAATAAAAAGAGAAATACAACAAAGATAAAAGAGCAAAAATTCGAAATATCCAGTTTGAGCTTTCACGAGAGATTCTTCAAGTCCTTAGAAGTGAAATTTGTTTTCTCTGATTCTTATCTCTACTGTGTGTAGAAAGAGGGTTGAGTGTAGCTGTAACACCCTGTGTTACGGCCTTCAATCCCGGAGTAATTATTTAATTAATCCCGTTAATAATAATTAAATATGATTTAATTCGGTTAGGTTTCCCTTTAATTAATTAATAAGGCCCACCATGAACCGTGGGCCCTTGCCTAAATTAGAGCCTTAAGCCTATTAGGAATAAAGAAAGTAAACCTTTTACTATTCAGATTCTGATTAGGAATCCTAGACCTAGTTATCTATTAGGAATAAAGGAAGTAGGTCTTTTACTATTCAGATTATGATTAGGATTCTCTTTAATTAATTAATATGGTCCACTATGGACCATGGAACCCAATCCTTAGTCCCAAAAGGAATAGAATTAGCAAGCCTATAATATTAGTTCCTAATTAGGACTCCTAAATATATAAATAGGGGACTTAAGAGGCACCTAGAACCCCCCATCACAATAAACGACTCACCATCCCAAAAGAGCTCCAAGAATTCCCTTAGAAGAAATCAAGAAAGCAAGAAAGCTTAAAGAAAGACCCTTCATAGCCAAGGAATTAATTAAGGCTAAGAGGTAACCCATGTCTCAACAAAACCTATTTTCATAGCTATGATTCCCCCTTAGGGTTTCCCCCATATTATTGTGTATTGGCGAGATATGATGATTATTATTGATGTTTGATGTGATGATCCCATGAGGGATCTTGATGATCTTGATATTGGGAGATTCTTGATGATTATAGAATTCTTGATGATTATATAGAGTTCTTGATGATTATGTGTTGTTCTTGATAATTGTGTGATGCTCTTGATGTTTATGTGTTATTCTTACCGAATCTTGCAATTAGAAGACGAACCGTATACTTGTTGATATAAAAGTGATTAGAACCCTAGGTTGTATCGTATGATCTTATTCTTGGATTGTCGGGTGGGGAAATCGCATGTTTGGGTGTTGATTATATTTAGAAAAGCATGATAAGTTATGTGCCGTCCGTCTCTTGTATTTGATTCGTTAATTGTTTACGTGTTGTCGTTAATTGCGTTGTAAAGTGTCTAAGCATGGTTTCGGGTTCCACAACGGTTCCCGGGGCGTAGAGTGATGAAAAGAGTCAGTGGGGGGTAGGGGACCCGCCACCTACCCACGACCGAGAAACACCGCCCGGCAGCGGGTAGCCGGCGGGCGGGCAGCTGCCCGCCGGCGACCCGCTGCCCGGAACAGTATTATCCGGCGGGCAGCCGGCGGGTGGCCCCACCCACCGGCTACCCGCTGGAAATTCATCCCACCCGGGATCCCGGCTTCCCCGTTCCCCGTGGTGTCCCAACGGACTCCGTTTATCGTGCCTATGTCTAGTTTGATGTTTCGGGTACCGTTCGTAGGTTTATGAGTCTATTATATTGCATGCTAGTTGAATTGGTATCCCGTTGACCTAGGTGGAAGAAGTATGAACCCCTTAGGACTATTCTTAGTATGTGATGGATCACGCATAGGTTTTGTTATACGCTTTCTCCCCCTTGGCAATGTGTAATGTGGGTTGCATGTGCCTGCTATGTGTTATGTGTGTGTGTTACCCCAATTCGGTTGCGATCGGATTGGTTATCCTGAGCTGCGGTTCAGAAGCTGGCTGCGGTCAGATTGATACTCTTGGGCTGCGGTCCACCGTTTGGTTGCGATCAAACGTTTCTATACGAGCTGCGGTTCGTCCTTTTTCCTGGCTGCGGTCAGATGACATTCTCTTGGGCTGCGGTCCACAATTTGGTTGCGATCAAACACTATGATTAGCTGCGATTCATCGGTCGGTTGCGATTGACCCCTCCGTGTTGCGATACGGGGCAGGGTGCTGCGGGGCCGTGTCAGAGCTATATGCGCTGACCCTCATGTATGGGCATGCGATTGGTCCTGTGGCGCCAACAATGTGTGCTATGTGTTGTGATATGGATGAGTGGTGATCATGAGTGTCTTGGGGGATGTGACTATGTGATTTATGTTGGGGATTGTTTATGTTGGGTTGTGACTATTGTTTATGCTTTGCCTTATCTGCCTTATCTGTTGTGAACTGCACATGTTGTTATAACTGTTGCTCGTGTCTGGCCTTATCTGTCGAGTCATTCCCGATTTTAAAAGCTAGAGTTCGTAGGATATATCTTCCTGCTCAAAATGGTTTTCGTATATCTATATATATCTCTATATGTATTGTATTTCAACGCGTTGGAGTGGGTTACCAGCATCTCTCACTGAACAGATATATTTGGCTTTCAGGCACAGAAGAATAAGTCACTGGAGCGCGCTAGAACTTGGAACGTAGAAGTAGATAGTTTCCTTTTTCGGCCTGCGTGCCATGCCTATGCCTTTACATTATTTAGGATATTAGTTAATTAGCCTGTGCACCTGAGTTCTCTAGCTCAGGTGTGGCATAGCACCCCATACTCTTGTATTATATTTTGGGATTTAATGGGATTTCACCTTTATTTTATAAGTTTTAAATGTCTTGAAAATCTGGGGTGTTACAGAAGCTTTGTGCAAGACACTACCTTGTTGAGTGTAGCTTTGTGCGAGACACTCATGGTTGCTGAGTGTAGCTGTGTGCGAGACGCTCGGTGGTGCTAAGTGTAGCTGGGTGTAAGACACTTAGTTGGTGTAGGAGTATAGCTTTGTGCGAGATACTCGGGAGTATAGCTTTGTGCGAGATACTCGGGATTGACTGTAGCTGTGTGCAAAACACTCGGGAAGTGCCTGTGTGCACTTGATTCACTATTTGTATCTGGGTGAATGAGATAGTGAATTTCCTCCTTGGAGTGAAAGGAGAAGAGTGGACTAGGAGGATTACACCACCTCTGAACCACTATAAATCACCTCTCTCATTTACTTACTGCCTTTATTTATTATTGCATGCATACTAACCCATTTACTATTCGTCTTATTCATTTATCTTATTGTTTGAGTAATGTGACTTTACAAGTGCATGCGGACACAATTTCTTTTGGATTCATTCATTGATTCTCACGTGATATTGCATACATATTGAGTGAACCATCTCTTTAAATATTTAGTTGTCTTGCATGTTGAATATTTGACTGACCCATCTTTATATTGTGCGAATTTATTCATCTGGGTCTAGTAGTTTTCACGTATGCATGTGAGCATAAAATTGCATACTTATTATTTGAGTCATACCAAGCATATCCATCATATTGCATGTGATATATCTCTTTGATTTTACGTAACACTTGGTTGATTAATTATTCCGCTGCACATCTGAGTTACATATCTTGTTACTTAGAGTTTAAATTATCAAAGTGTTATTTATTGTGAAAAAGTTTAAATAGTCTATTCAACTCCCCTCTAGACCTTTTACCGCCCTATCAGGACCAACAATTGGTATCAGAGCGGATGTCTATTTGAGTCAATTTTGACTGCTGGACAGATCTCGAAAAATCAAGATGATGAAAAGAGATAAGGCTCTTGCCCAATATTTATTATTTTCTCCAGAAAAATTTGATGATTGGAAAATTCGCATGCAGGTACATTTATCTGCATTACATGATGAAATGTGGGAAGTAATCACTAATGGTCCAATTGAAATCTTGCAAGTGAACATTGCTTCTGTACAAACAAGTGATACTCCACAGTACGTTCCAAAGCCTAAAGTGGAATGGACTCGTGAAGATAGAACACGAAATAACTTGGATAATATTGCCAAGGATATTTTTTTCAAATCTATCGATGATACGATATTTCCAAAGGTTCGAAAATGCCAATCAGCAAAATAAGTTTGGGAGACACTCATCCAAATTGGTGAAGGTGACGAACAAGAAAAGGATAATAAACTCACCATAGCATTAAAGAAATTTGAGGATTTCAAAATGCTAAGCGGCGAGAATATTACCGACATGGAAACAAGATTTCCAAAATCTTGGGAGAAATTAATGATCTTGGAAAAGACATTAATCAAAAGGAAATCTCACTCAAAATCCTACGTGGTTTACCGTCAAGTTGGGACATGAAATTCACTGCCATGCGTGATCATAGAGATCTAAAGACTCTATCAACTGATAAGCTTTTTAGTGATCTAAAAGCCTATGAGTTTGAAATGAAGTCAAGGACAGAGGAAGAACACGGAGAAAAGAACAATGCACTAGTTGCCGAACAACCGTCCACGCCAAGGTCTGTAGATAATAGTGAATTATTAAATAATGAAAACTTTGCTTTGTTTGTCAGGAAATTCAAGAGGTTCATGAGGAAAAACAATCACAAAAATTTTCCTAAAGCAAGCACGTCACGAAGGCATAAAAAGGAAACCATGGAGGAGAATTTGAATTTATGCTACAACTGTAGAAAGCCTGGACACTTTATGGCCAAATGTCCTTATCCCAAGGTAAGAAAAAATCAATCTAACACCATGCAGGAGGAAACCAAAGTCAAGGATAGGAGATTCAACAAGAAAGACAAAAGGAAAGCTCTTATTAGTGACCCACTAGAAACAAGTGAGTCTGAGGAATCTTCTAGCAATGAACGTGACAGTTCTACAGATGATACTGCACTATTTGGAATGAGCATGTCAAGCAATTCAAATAATCAAGACTTATGTCTTATGGCACACGAAACAGATAATGATGAGGTAACTTCTAAATCCTTTGATTCTGTAAGCTCATCTTTCTCTAAAGAGTCTTATCTTTCATTTAATGAAGGATTGTCAAACCATGATGGACACTTACTCGCAAATCAAGGAGCGCAATAATTTACTGATTCTTGAAAAATATCAACTAAATAAAAAATTGCAAAATGCTCTATCTAAGATACGAGACTTGAAAGACGAAAATATTCAACTTCAAGAAGAGTGTAAAGCAAGGGAAGTGAGAGAACACAACCTAAGGGAAGTTATAGCAACATTTACTCATTCATCCAAAATAATGGATAAAATGGTAAATATGCAAAAAATCCTCAGTAGATAAAACTAGACTTGGTTATGATCCATCGTGTTCTCAAGCCTCTGAAAAATTGACCAATTCTACTACTGCTTTAAATAATAAAGTTCAAATAGTAAAATTTGTAAAAGGTCAAGATAGCACAATGAGACAAGGAATTGGTTACCAAGCTAATGCCAAAAACGTTACTGCAAGGTCGAAGCCTCAAAGAAAGTTTAATTCGCCAATGCAGTCAAATAATAGGCAAAAGTTTGTTCCTAAATGGAAACACACCAATGAGTCGAGTGCACAAAGTCCTCATAGGAAAACGGGAAGAACTCCAAGGATTGGGGCAGGGAGACTGTAACACCCCAGATTTTCAAGGCATTTAAAACTTATAAAATAAAGGTAATATCTCATTAAATCCCAAAGCGTAACATAAGTGTATGGGGTGCTATGCCACACCCGGGCTAGAGAACCCAGGTGCACCGGCTGTCTAACTACTATTCTTCGAAATATAAATGCATAACATGGCACGCAGGCCGAAAGGGAAGCTACACTACTTCTACGCTCCAGTTCTAGCGCGCTCCAGTGCTCTAATCCTCTGTGCCTGAAAGCCAAATATATCTGTTCAGCGAAAGATGCTGGTAACCCACTCCAACGCGTTGAAATACAATACATATAGAGATATATATAGATATACGAAAACCATTGTGAGCATGAAGATATATCCTACGAACTCTAGCTTTTAAAAACCGGGAATGACTCGACAGATAAGGTCAGACACAATCAATAGTTATAACGAGCATATGCAGTTCACAATAGATAAGGCAGATAAGGCAAAGCATAAACAATAATCACAACCCATCATAAACAATCCCCAATATAAATCCCATAGTCACATCCCAAGGCACTCATAATCACAACTCGTCCATATCACACACATAACGCACATTGTTGGCGCCACAGGACCGATCGCACGCCCATACATGAGGGTCAGCGCATATAGCTCTGACACAGCCCCGCAGCACCATGCCCCGCATCGCAACACGGGGAGGTCGATCGCAACCGACCGATGAACCGCAGCTCTTCATAATGTTTGATCGCAACCAAATAGTGGACCGCAGCCCAAGAGAGTGTCATCTGACCGCAGCCAGGATAAAGGACGAACCGCAGCTCGTATAGAAACGTTTGATCGCAACCAAACGGTGGACCGCAGCCCAAGAGAGTGTCGTCTAACCGCAGCCAGGAATACCAATCTGACCGCAGCTCAGGATAACCAATCCGATGGCAACCGAATTGGGGTAGCACACACACATAACACATAGCAAGCACATGCAACCCACGTTACTCATTGGATAGGGGAATAAAGCGTATAACAAACCTATGCGTGATCCATCACATACTAAGAATAGTCCTAAGGGGGTTCATACTTCCTTCACTTAGGTCAACGGGATACCAATTCATCTAGCATGCGATATAACAGACTCATAAACCTACGAACGGTACCCGAAACATCAAACTAGACATAGGCACGACGAACGGGGTCCGTTGGGACACCACGGGGATCGGGGAAACATCAAACGGGGAAGCCGGAGTCCCGAGGTGGGAGAAATTCCAGCGGGTAGCCGGTGGATGGGGGTCCACCCGCCGGCTGCCCGTCCGCTGATACTGTTCCGGGCAGCGGGTGCCCGGCGGGCAACTGCCCGCCCGCCGGCTGCCCCGCTGTCGGAGCTGCCCGAATTGCCGCGGGTAGGTGGCGGGTCCCCTACCCCCACCTACCCCCCACTAACTCTTTTCACCACTTTTCGTCCCGGGAACCGTTGTGGAACCCGAAACCATGCTTAGACACTTTTCAACGTAATTAACGACAACACATAGACAATTAACGGATCAATACGATAAACGAACGGCACATAACCTAACATGCTTTTCTACTCATAATCAACACCCAAACATGCGATTTCCCACCCGATAATCCAAGAATAAGATCATACGATATAACCTAGGGTTCTAATCACTTTTATATCAACAAGAATACAGTTCGTCTTCTAATTGCAAGACTCGGTAGGAACAACACATAATCATCAAGGATACCAATTAATCATCAAGAACATCATAATCATCAAGAACAACACATAATCATCAAAATCCCAATTAATCATCAAGAACATCATAATTATCAAGAAACTCCCAATATCAAGATTATCAAGATTCCCCATGGAATCATTAAATCAACATCAATAATAATCATAGTAATTCGCCATCTACAATCGTATGGGGGAAACCCTAAGGGGAAATCATAGCTATGAAAATAGGTTTCGTTGAGACATGGGTTACCTCTTAGCCTTAATTAATTCCTTGGCTATGAAGGATCTTTCTTTAAGCTTTCTTGCTTTCTTGATTTCTTCTAAGGGAATTCTTGGAGCTCTCCTGGAGTGATGGGGCGTCTAGGCGTGTGGGAGGGGGTTCTAGGTTCTCCCTAAGTTCCCTATTTATAGATCCAAGGGTTTAGAGTTTATTCCTATTGGGTTTAGGGGTTGGGTTTATATAACTGGGCCCACGGGCTATGGTGGCCTTTTCCCCTAATTAACCATTATAATTTATTCTTTCTCCTGGGTTATTAATTAATTAATTATTTAATCAGTTGGTTTTAGGATTCGTAACATGGGGTGTTACACTCTCCCCCCCTTAACAGGATGCTTCGTCCCCGAAGCTTGGCCCTGGGTGACAAAAAGAAAGGAAAGTTTTTCCCTTAGTTACCTGGAGTGAACAGCTCGGGGTACCGCTCCTTCATTGTGTCCTTAAGCTCCCATGTGGCTTCCTCGGTCCTGTGGTTGGTCCAGAGAACCTTCACCATTTCCACGACTCGGTTCCGGGTATTTCTTGTTTTGGTGTCCAGGATTCTTACGGGTTTCTCTTCGTATACTAGTGACTCGTCGAGGTCCACGGTCTCGTGTTGGAGTACGTGGCTTGGATCGTGTATGTATTTCTTTAGTTGAGATACGTGGAACACGTTGTGCACTCGTTCTAGCTCGACGGGTAAGGCGAGACGGTAGGCCAAGTCTCCGATTCTCTCCACGATTTCGTAAGGGCCGATGAACTGGGGGCTGAGTTTTCCTTTTCTTCCGAACCTCATTACCCCTCGTGTTGGCGAGATCCTTAGCCAGATCTTGTCCCCGAGGCTGAACTCGGCTTGCTTCCTTTTTAGGTCGGCGTAAGACTTCTGGCGGTCTTAGGCGGCTTTCATCCTTTCCTGGATGTGTTTGACCTTAGCTATGGTGTCTTGTAGGTATTGGGGGCCCAGTGTTACCGGGTTGACCATATCTTCCAAGCATAATGGGGTTCTACATCTCTGACCATACAGTGCTTCATATGGTGCCATGCGAATGCTCGCGTGGTAGCTGTTGTTGTACGAGAACTCGATGAGGTCTAGGTGTTCTTCCCACGTCCCTCGGAAGTCGAGCGCGCAGGCTCTTAGCATGTCTTCGAGGGTTTGGATGGTTCTTTCGGTTTGGCCGTCTGTGGTGGGGTGAAAGGCTGTGCTTAGCTTTAGTTGCGTCCCCAACGCCGCTTGTAGTGATTTCCAGAATTGCGAGAGGAACCTGGAATCTCGGTCGGACACAATGTTCCGGGGAACTCCGTGGTATTTCACTACCCGGTTTACGTAAGCTTGGGCTAGTTGCGTCATCGTCCATGTTTCTTTCATGGCAATGAACCGCGCTGTCTTGGTGAGTCGATCCACTATGACCCAGATTTTATCCTTACCGGTTTTCATTGGGGGTAGCCCTCCGACGAAGTCCATGGATATGGAATCCCATTTTCCTTGTGGTATTTCAAGGGGTTGTACGAGTCCCTTGGGTTTGCATCGTTCGGCCTTTACCCTTTGGCAATTCAGGCACTTGACCACAAAGTCTGCGATTTCCTTTTTCATATTCGGCCACCAAAATGATTTCTTTACGTCTTGGTATAATTTGTCACTGCCTGGGTGGACGGAGTAAGGGGAGTTGTGTCCTTCCTCCAAGATCTGCTGTTTCAAGTGGGGGTGCGTTGAGGGTACACACCACCTCCCTTTGTAGCGGAGGCTGCCGTCTGGGTGCGCTTCGAAGGGGCCCTCTTTCCCTCGAGTCAGGTCGCGGCGGATTTTATCTAGTTCCGGGTCCTGTTGTTGTCCTGATTTGATTTCCTCGAAGAGGGTCGGCACGGCCTGTGTGTTGAGTAGATAGGCATTGGGGCGAGTTTGTCCCTGCTCTATTATTTCCAAGTGTAGCCTTTGGAAGTCCCTGTACAGATGGTCCGGTAGGACCCACGTGGTGTTAAGGGAATGATTTGTCTTTCGGCTTAGGGCATCCGCCACCACGTTGGCTTTTCCCTCGTGGTATTGAATGTCTAGGTCGTAGTCCTTTATGAGTTCCAGCCATCTTCGTTGTCTCATGTTTAGGTCCTTTTGAGTAAAGATGTACTTCAGGCTCTTATGGTCGGTGTAGATCTTGCATTGTACTCCGTACAGGTAGTGCCTCCAAATTTTCAGTGCGAATACGATAGCGGCTAGCTCGAGGTCATGGGTGGGGTAATTCTCTTCGTGGGTTTTGAGTTGCCTGGATGCGTAAGCTATTACCTTGCCATTTTGCATTAGTACGCATCCTAACCCCTTCTTGGATGCGTCGCTGTAGACTTCAAACCCTTCCGATCCGGAGGGTATGGCTAGCACGGGTGCAGTGGTTAGTTTATCCTTTAATGCTTGGAAGGCCGAGATGCAGCCGTTGTCCCAACGGAAGGGGGTTTCCTTTTTCATGAGCTTAATGAGGGGTTGGGCTATCTTGGTGAAGTCGGG